GCGATCCCCTTCCCCAGAAGGGGTAAGATGAATCCTTTGACAGCCTGTGCCTCATCGTCAGTGATTAAGTGTTGGATCAGCCCCACGTCCCATTTATTTGTTTGGGGGTTAATGATATGTTGCTCCCGCTGATTAGCATCCACCAGAGTATTAGTTCTTGGATTGAGACGCATGTTGAGAGTAGAAGGAATCCATCTATCTCCCAAATCTTTATAGAATTGCCATTCGAAACCTGCTAGAGAGCCTCGTTCTTTATCAATTCTCTCCCTTGCAATAGGCTTGCCCAAGCTCAAGAGGCACGTCCCCCCTTTGTAGCTTCAAGAAAAGTAGTATTAGGAAATATCGAGCTTTAAGAGTTTGAGCCCACAAAGAATCAGGATCATGCACTACTCTCCAACATTGTTTTGCTATAAGGGCAAGGTTGAATTCATGAATATTTTTGAATCCCAAGTCACCATCCCTTCTCGAATTACCAAGAGATTCCCAACTCATCCAGTGAACTCGTCGTCTGTCACCAATTTGACCCCACCAAAATTTTGCTAGAATTGAATCAATCTCCTTGCAAAAAGTGAGAGGGAACAAGAAAATATTCATCGGGTATGCAGGGACTGCCTATGCCACAGCTTTTATTAAGACTTCTCGACCTGCTTGTGAAAGAAGTTGTTGCTTCCGCCCATCAACTTTGGCAAGAATCCGATCTTTTATGTAAGATAATGCATTTCTCTTGGCTCTCCCCCAAACAGTTGGCAAGCCAAGATAATTTCCAGGATCCTCAACCTCGGGCATACCAAAGATATTACATAAGCTCTCACACAATTGCATAGGAGTATGGGGACTAAAAAAGAGGGTGGATTTGGAGAAATTCACTTGCTGACCGGATGCATAACAATAGGCGTTGAAGAGCATAACCAAATTTCTGCAATTCTGAGTGGAGGCCTTTAGGAATATCAATGTATCATCTGCAAACATAAGGTGGGATAGAGTGGGGGCCCTATTGCTCATTTTAATACCCTGCAAGAGCTCATTTGAAAAAGCACTTTCTATAAATAAGGAAAGAACATCACTTACAATCAAAAAGAGATAAGGCGAGATTGGATCTCCCTGCCTCAGACCCCTGGATGGTTTGAATTTGCAGCCTGGCTGCCCATCAATGAGCACAGAGAGCTGAACTGATCTCACACAATTCATGATAAGATTAACCCAAGATTCCGCAGAGCCCATTTTTAGCATCACTCCTTCGAGGAAATCCCATTCCACCCTGTCATATGCTTTATTCATGTCTAATTTCACCCCCAAGTCAAAATTCTTCTTTAACTTCTTAAGTTTCAGATAATGGAAAATCTCATGGGCAATAATGAGGTTGTCCTGAATTTGTCTCCCTAGTATGAGTGCGTTTTGGCTAGAAGAAATAAAGTTAGACATGTGGGTTGGACAAGATTTTATAAGAGAAATTACATAAGCCAATAGGCCTGAAATGAGAAACGGACTCAGGGTTGGGAATCTTAGGGATCAAGGCAATGTGGGTGAGGTTTAAAGGTATAAGGGAGGTATTTCCCCTCAAGAAATCAGCAGCAATCCCCTTAACATCATTACAGATCGTTTGCCAGTAAGAATGGTAGAAAATACCAGGAAAACCATCAAGCCCAGGCGCCTTTGTTCCTCCCATTTGAAACACAGCATCTCTTACTTCTTGATCAGTAATTTGTGAAGACAAGTGCACATTTGCCTCATTGCTTACCACTGGAAGAACACAGTTGAGAATATTGCCCCAATCACGAGTGCCTCCCGAAGTGAAGAGTTCTGTGAAATACTTTTCCACCACCTGTCTAATCAAGATTGAGACTCCACCCAAAGGCCATCGCTGTTTTTTATCCGATGTATGCGATTCATGCGCCTTCTTTGGATAGTTGCTTGGCAACAGCACATGAATGTTCTTCCCAACAAGTGGGTGTTTAAGATTAAAAGGCACTATGATGGATCTATTGAGCGTTATATAGTGCGGTTGGTAGCCAATGGTTTCCATTAACATGAAGGGCTTGATTATTTAGAGACGTTCAGTCCTGTGGTTAAACACACCACAATTCATATGGTTCTTGGGCTTGTTGTGTCTAATCAATGGCTTGTTCGTCAATTAGATGTTCAGAACGCATTTCTTCATGGTTTTTTAACTGGAGATGTATACATGAAGCAACCTGTTGGTTTTGTTGATTTGAAGTATCCCAATCACGTTTGCAAGCTGCCGAGGTCACTTTATGGTTTAAAACTGGCACCTCGAGCCTGGTTTAAACAGTTCAATGATTTTCTACTGCATCTCAGGTTTCAAGAATCCAAGTGTGACTACAGCTTATTTGTGTATAAACACAATGGTGTCTTTCTGATTTTACTTATTTATGTAGATGATATTTTGGTGACTGGAAATAATTCTTCTCAGGTTATGGTGCTTATTCAGAGATTGGGAAAATTATTTTCTATGAAGGATTTGGGTCGTCTAAATTATTTCCTGGGTATTGAGGCTACTTATGTAGGTTCCACGCAAAAGAAATATGCCTATGATCTTCTTACTCGCACTGGTTTTGCAAATTCCAAGCCTATATCTACACCATGTATTTCTAGTCAGAAACTGAGTCTTCACTGTGGTGAGCCTCTTGGGGATCCTTCTGAATATCGCCAGGTTGTAGGTGCCTTACAATACCTCACTATTACTCGGCCGGACTTATTTTATGCTGTGAACCAAGTGTGCCAGTTTTTGCACTCACCAACAACAGTGCACTGGCAGGCAGTGAAACGCATTCTGAGGTATTTGAAGGCCACATATGATCATGGGCTTCGGTATCAACCTAGCAAACTTGAATTGAATGCTTATTCTGATGCTGATTATGTAGGGGATCCTAATGTAAGACATTCTACTGGTGGTTTTTGTGTCTATTTTGGTTTTAACTTAATTTCCTGGAGCTCAAAGAAGCGTAAGACCGTTTCACGTTCTAGTACAGAGGTCGAGTACAAACAATTAGCTTATACCGCTGCTGGTTACGCTCCTTATTCCGAGATCTGTGTATTTTCTTACCTACGCCTACCCTATGGTGTGATAATGTTTCTTCTATTGCACTTACTTCCAATTCGGTTTTTCATTCTCGAACTAAGCATTTAGAAGTTGACTACCACTATGTTCGGGAGAAAGTGGTTCATGGTGAGTTACATGTTAATTATATTTGCTCCAAAGATCAGATCAGGCACTTGTTTTCAAGCTTCCTGTTCTCCAAGGACCACTCAGCTTTAGGGGGGGCTGTTAGACCAAGGTCTGACATGGATAAGTCTACTGAGTTTTTGAATTTGAATGATAGTTCTTTATCCTTTGGTTCTTTTGAATGAGGAGCTTTGTGTTGTATATAACTCTATCACTTAACAGGTGATATCCTGATTTGAAGGAACAGCTTTTTGTTTTTCAAACTTGTACTTATCAATACAATCATTATAAATACATAGCTGCAGCCATATTGGCAAGGCAAGCTTTTCACGCTATTTCAAAGTCTTACAAGAACAGATCACAGGCATGTGTTATGAGTGATGAGTCAGTGAAAGAAGAAAGAAGCTAAAATTTCATTGAGCTGAATTCAAATGAGATGACCGACAATAAAGGACTAAACTATCAAGATCTTAGATTCATTACGGAAAAATAAAAGAAGTATCAAACTAGAAAAGTAATAATAATTAGATTGGGTTGTCAAAAAGTGTTATTTTTAATAATTTAACATAAAATTGGATGAAATATTGAAGATTTAAACGGCATGGGAGGAATTAAGGAATTAAAGGAAAAAAGATGTTCCCGTCCTTCAATTTCTTAAAAAAAGTATAAGAAGTAAAATGAAAATTAAGTACAAATTCAGGAGTAAATCAACAATTAAGCCGTTTACTATTGATATATGATGGCAGTTGTGTTGACGAGCCCACTACTTTCGTCAAGAATTCCACATTTAGAGGGTTTGGGATGGATGAAATAGTTTGAACAAAATATATAATAAGATATTTCTATAATAAAAAATCAAGAAAAAAAAAATTTCAAAAGTGAAGGACTCTGATTATGCGAAGGACACTGGATTGACCATGTTATCTGATTGATGGAATATATAGAGACATATACGCATAGCCAGCTGGTGTACATTTGTGGACAATTGATTAACCATATGTGAGGTCTTGCGCATATGTCAAATAGATGCCCAATTCTCCATTCTTCCTTATTACAAGTCATTGCATTGATTCCCCCATGGTGCAATCATGTGCCCCACTCTTTCGCAACTTGTTCTGCCTTCATATATTGACACTGCAACAAATTATTCAATCATTTCAAGTTTTCAATTGGAAAGGGAAAAAACAGATTAAAAACACTTTCAAGTTCAGACTTCTTTGTTTTCGGTGCTCATGGAGAGAAGTCGTTTCCTCTTGTCAATCACGTTGTTGCTGCTGCACTACAATTCTATAGGTACAGGTGCAGCAAAAACCAACATCACAACCGACCACTCTGCTCTTCTTGCTATGAGATCCCATATCACTAGTGACCCTCACAACATCTTGGTCAACTGGTCAACCTCCACCTCCGCTTGCAACTGGGTTGGTGTTACTTGTGGTGCTCGTCACCTCAGAGTAGTATCGTTGAATTTCTCCTACATGGCTTTCACTGGCACCATTCCACCACACTTAGGCAATCTCTCCTTCCTTGTTGCACTAAGCTTCAACAATAATAGCTTTTACGGTACTTTGCCCCATGAATTGTCCTATTTGCATCGCCTGAAGTTTATTAGCTTCGGATACAACAATTTTATGGGATCCATTCCATCGTGGTTTGGGTCCTTCCCCAAACTTCAAGGCTTCTATTTGTATGGTAATCAGTTTTCAGGTTCCATACCTGCGACTATCTTCAACTTGTCTGCATTGCAAGACATAGATCTAAGCAATAACAAACTATCAGGTACGTATGTGTCAACAAGGTATCTAGACTCTATTGTTGATCTATCATTATGTTTCAACATCTTGTTATTAATCTATAAGACTAATATGTTTTTTTTCTTTAGAAAATTATGCTAATTTTTTCTTATTACTTGCAGGTCATCCAATACTCAAAAACTCCCACTTGAATAGATTATGTATTTGGTTTTTAATTTTAAGAACGGTTGAGTCTATAATGTTTGTTTTTTATATATTTATTTATATACTTAGAAAGTTTTTACAAAACTTACATTTATGAAACTAGTGAGTACATGTTGTAGCCTACAAATGATAAAAGTGGATGGGTGTCGGGGAATAAAGACATAGATGATAGATTGTAAATAATAGGGAATATTTATGACCTTTTTCACATGGAGGCCCTGTTGGGAAAATGGCTCACCTAAGGATACAAGGTTGGTTTTGGCGCTGAAAGGAAGATTTTGAATCTGCCTAAAAGCGACCGGTCGCTAGGCATTTGCGACCGGTCGTTTTGAAGCAGATTCGAAGTCTGGAGCAACATCAACGAGCGACCGGTCGCCAGTTCTTTGCGACCGGTCGCAGGAATAGCGACCGGTCGCTTAGCATTTGCGACCGGTCGTTTAGAAGCAGATTCAAGGTCTGGAGGAAAAACCAAAAGCGACCGGTCGCCAGTTC